TTGAACGAACCAAAGAACGTTGACTCCTGCAACTAGGGTGTGGCACCATCCATCCTTTTATCCCCAGAATATCCCCTAACGAGCCCAGGCTGCATAATTAATCTTGCATCCTGAAAAGACTCACAGAAGACGTCTGCTGAGTCACAACAAGTAAGTAGTTTTCATGACATAGTATCCGCCTACTTTTGTGATCCTAGGACACTGATGGCTAACCTTTTTGGTGCCGAGTGCCCAAAGTGATGCATGCATGCGAATGCACATGCACAAAACCTCAAAATGTAATGCGAGCACCTCACACATGTGCTCCGTACATGCGTGTGTGCCCCATGCATGTGGGCAGACCCCTGTGCATGCATCGTCCCCCACCACACCCATTTTTGACTTCCAGGTTGTTGCAGGACCCCTTCCAGGCCCAAAATGGGGCACAGGGGAGGCGTGCGCACCTGCGTGGTGGAGCTGGGTTGGAGCAACAGCTGGCGTGCCCACAGAGAGGGCCCTGTGTGCCACCTGTGGCATGCGTGGCATAGGCTTGCCATCATGGTCCTAGGATTAAGTAGGCTGTTTCCAGTTTGTTCAAACAAAATTGAACGAAATTAAACTTCAAAGTGGAACCCATCTGAATCTGTGTGACCACTGCTGGTGGAACAGCTTAAGCACATGTCTCCTGATGCCCAAATCTTCCTGATCTTATTTCATTTGCCTGTAATCACTCTTCAGTGTGTTGATACCTGGGTCTGTGATGTAGGCTTTTCACATGTCTATTTAGGCCACAGTTTGCTTAGCTACTGTTTGCTGAAAGCCATAGTCATCATCCACAAAACTTAAATTATCAGAGCATAGTTAAGAAGCCCTAAGGAAAATGGAAAGTGACAGTTAGTTCCTAATCATCAAACAATGGAGAAATTAACACCAGGGGGTGGGCCAGAGATATAAACACTGTCATGTGTAAAAAGAGATAGAAAGCAAGATAGACTTTATGGTTCCGGATACTGATAGCAGATGTGGTTATGGATGGAGAACAGGTTATAGAGTTGCATCTAGATCAGGGGTCTCCAACCTTGGCAACTTTAAGACTTGTGGATTTGCTGAGGAACTCTGGGAGTTGAAGTCCACAAGTCTTAAAGTTGCCAAGGTTGGAGACCCCTGATCTAGTATACATATATTTTATCATGCAGTTTGAAAATGGCTAAGGTTGGTCAACTTTGCTCCAAAACTTTGTTTTCTGCTTTATATCCTTTTCTTAGGCTAGCAGTGACGTATAACAACATATCTGGGCCAGGATTGGTGGCACTTTCAGATGCCATGAAAATAAACCCTGTCCTTTCGTACATCTACATCTGGGGAAACAAATTTGATGAAGCTACTTGTGAGGTAGGTCCTTCTTCTCAGAGGTTCCTTCAGATATAGTGGACTAGTTGTCTTCCTGATAGTCCTCATCATCACTTGTAAAGCAATGGTGGTGTTGTCCCGTTCCCATTCACAAACATTTCGTCCTCCTTTCTGGTGGCAACTGGCATTTGAGCAATAGATTGTGTGGGTTCACACATTGCATAAACCCAGGTTGTGCTTTTTTAACTGAAAGAACTGTCTGAAGCCAGCCATTGAGGCTTTCTCAATGTGCACTTCAGTTCCCAGCATGGGAAGAGTGTCAAGGTTCCAAATAGTATCCCAAAGTAAATCAGAGTCCAAGGCAAAGTATTGCTCAATATTCCAATTTATTGAGGGAGCCAGGCTGGCACATCTGAGAAAACCCAAATTTGAAAGCTTCCCAGTTTTTCCCACCCAGTGGAAAGTTCAAGATCTTGCCTCCACACCCACAAGTCCATCACATGGTTCAATCTCCCACTGCCATGCTTGCAGTTCCACCCATCCAATTCCGGTCATGTGAAGTGGTGAAGAGACAAAGGATGACCTTGGCTTTCTAGAAAGAATTTTGTTATGGCTACATAGTATGCAACTCCTTACAATCGCCCTCCCATTTTCTCACAATAGAAAATGCATAGCAGAATAATGGAAAGTGTGGCAGGACAAAGATCCAAAAGAAAAGATGGCTGCAGGCCTGACAAAGAGTTGTTTACAGCTTTTGTGTTCTGATTTGGCTCCCAAACATGACAAAGCATCTATAGTTACCTAATTGTTCCCTTTATTAGGAGCACCCGCAGCCCTGGCAAAAAGTCTTTCTCTCTCTCTCTCTCTCTCTCTCTCCCTCCCTCCCTCCCTCCCCCCCCTCTCTCATCACAGGCTAACAAGTCTGTCCGGCAGGGAGATGAATATTGTCTGCCACACCTATTCATTTCCATCCCTGCTTTTTATCCCCAGAGCTAGGGTGGGGTTTCAATAGCAGCAGTGGCTCTTCCATCCCAAGGATCAGCCCATATATTTCCACTACTCTCCTCTCCTCTGCCTTCTGTGCATCTGCACATTAGGCACTGGACCCAGCTGTTCCTCCTCTTCCTCATCAGCCGCTCTCCATCTGAGGGCTGATGGATGGTTCAGGATCCACCTCTATCTTTATCTCTCACAGCTCCATTCCCTCCCCCCACCCCCGGGAGCTCTCAGGTTGCCTTGATGCTGGGCGACTCCCATGCTGCCTCCAACAATCATCTGATTTGACTGTTGGAGGGGCTGGTGGCTGACAGGCCACAACATTTTAATTGACATTTGCTCGCTTCAGTGTTTTCCATTTGTTTATATTATTAAATATAAAATATTTAAATAAATAAATAAATAAATAAAATATATTATTTATATTATTTATTATTAAATATTTGTTGGTTTATTTAACAATATGAAAAATGGGAAATTAAACAACTAAGCCAGCAATTGTCATTTAAATAATTGAGTGATGAAACATAGATTAGTTCTCTTAGTTTGTATATATAGTGGGCCTCTTTTCTTTTTCTCTCTTGTTGCATATAATGCAAATATTTTTAAATAAGAGGGTTATAACAACTTATTGCTTAATGAGTATGTCCCACAATTCTAATTCTGTTCTTATAATCATGCCGAGGAGAAGAAGTTTCTCTCACCTGATATGAAAGCTATTTTAAAAAAAATATTGAACTCTCGTGCTGAAATGTAGCCCAGCATATGAAAATTAGACATAGTTTCTCTGTTAACAACCATCTTCCTTTCATACCTGTCTTCTCCTTTCTCTTGCTCCTTTATCTCTAGTCTGTCAAAATATGGATGGCATAATGCCCACAGTAGGGATTATCTTCCTCTACATTTTGTTCCCTTATTCCATTTACTTCCAACCTGTGACATTGTCAGTCAATTAACAAGATATCCATTCCTTTTTTTAAGGAAAGTGCAGCAAGGATTGCTAGTGAGATTAGTGTAGATCTGGCTTCAGTGTAGTAGAGAAAACAGCCCAATATCATCATCACTTGTTCTTTCTACAATGTTGATTTGTCCCGAGGTGGCAAAGCATCTAGGATAAGATGGTGGGCTTGATTTGAGATGACAAGGCAGACATGGTATGGAAGAATGGTTCCGTTCCTCCCCACTAGTAGCTCTTCAGAGTAGGAAATCAAAGTCAAAACTACTTTTAAGTTTACTCATAACAAAAATTTTCAAGTCTGAAAGCACTTCTTCCCTCTCTGATGTTTGTGAGATTTAGGAGGGTCAACCTGACATTTTCTTAGTTACAGTTCTGCCTTGGACTCAAGTTACTTGATCACCATGATACAAAAAAGATGTTGAGACTCTAGAAAGAATGTAGAGAACAAACTTTAGAGGGTGGAGGCTAAGCAGTAAGACGAGTGGTTGAGAGAACTGGGTATGTCTGGTCTAAGAGGATTAGAGGTGCCATAATTACTGTCTTTCAATACTTGAGGGGCTGTCACAGAGATAAAGGGGTTGAATGATTCTTCAAAGAGGTAGGACAAGAAGTAATGAGTACAATATGATTGAAGAGAGATCCAACGTAAAACTAAAGAGAAATAAATCAGTGTAAAGGCTTACCTCCAGAAATTGTGAGTGCTCCATGAGAGGAGGTTTTCAAAAGACTGGAGAGCCATTTGTCAAAAATAGTATATATCATGGCGAACCTATGGCTTTGCCATGGGTGGCATGCAGAGCCCTCTCTGCAGGCATGCAAGCTGTCGCCCCAGATCAGCTCCACTGCACACGCACATGTGCCTCCCGCTGGCCAGCTGGTTTTAGGTCTCTCCTGCCCATGCGGGGGTTGCACGCGCACGTGTAGGGGATTGTACGGACATGTGCGTGGGGGCAGGGTGCATGGGGTTGCATGCACATGCACAGGGGGAAAGGAGGAATGCAGGGGGTCGCGCACACACACATGGGAGAGCGGGGCGCACATGGGGGTGCATGTGTATATTGCGTTATGGGTGCGCATACGTGCTCTTGGCACACAGTAATGAAAAGGTTAGCCATAATTGATGTAGAATCTCCTGCTTCAGCAGGTGATTGAACTAGAAGACCTCTAACCCTATTATTTTATGTTCTACAATATGTTTCATTGCTTTCATTGGACTGTTATCTTCGTGGCAGCTTCTGTCTGTCCCTCAAGGTCTGTTTTTCTACACACTTTCTACCCACATGTATTGTGGCCATCTGCTGTATGCAGCATTCTTCATTTTATGTTCTTACTGAAGGTATTCCTGGGCCACTGCTTATTGCAAAAAGGGTCAACTTCATATTTTGTGGTTTTTCAGGCATTTGCAGAATTGCTTCAGAGTGGCCGTTTGAACCCCACTGGAACAGATGTTGAGCCCTATGAAGTGGATGGACATATATATCTTGCTGAACTCTCTCATGGCCTTAAGCGCCATTACTACTGGACGCCAAGTTATGGAGAACCAGATAACGAAGTTGAAAATGCATCCTTAGCAATAAATCCTGTTACAGAACATATATGAATATAATTCTCCCCCCCCCCACCCTTTCAGGAGTGTTTTCATGTGTGCACCTTGCATTTAACACACATGAGCACTTTATAAGGTGTTTGTATCATAATCACGACAACAATCAATGCTGGGAATCTGGTTTATTCCAACAGTGGGGTCTCAATGCAGCAACAGCTCATCGGATTGAAAGCATTTATTTTGTAGCTTTTGTGTTTGTAAGTGTGTATGTTGTAATGATCATAAATATGCTTTTTATATCATTTGTACTCTCAAGTGGATTTCAGACCACTCAATTATCCTAAAATCCTTGGATGGTTTGTTTCATGTTTACGTCATTGATCATTCTGGAATGAAGCCTTTTCAAATCTCTGTGTCCCTATGTATCCCAAGCAACAATAGAAGGGCAGAGGACAGAAGTGTTACAAAACCAGTTTATTCAAATCTAACATTAAAATATTGCAATCTATGCACAGGTACCCTCAGAGGGATGTACAAAAAACTGGAAGACAGCTACACACACGTTTACCCATGAACAAAAAAAGATTTGCAAATACATGAGAAAAAATATTTCAGAAATAATTTAAACTGGAGGGGGGGGGGTAAGTCACAAAACTCATCAGAATGCCCACAATCGTACAACTCTTATATGGCAAAAATAATAACATTCTCACCAAGAGCTCAACATACAGGTGAAGGACATCCCCTTTCTTCATGAAAGCAGCGTTCCACATCATTTAAAACCTCTGTTTAATGGCTGGTGAATCACAGCAAATAACTGGTCATCAACCAGAAAGTTAATTTAAGTCCAAAATGCAGTTGGTTCTTCCTTCCATCTCCCCCCCCCCCCAAAACTAGAGGGGAAAGCTTTATACACAAAATATAGCACACCCCTCTTTGTGATACAATCCCTACAGTTCCCAGTAAATTCTCGCACCTAGTACTTTAATACCAGCAGAAACCATGGTTTGTGAAAAAGACACATTATCGCTCAACAGCCCAAGTTTTCCAAGCATCACAGTGGACTTTTGAGGAAAAAAAGGTTGTATATTCAGTTATTGCTCCAATAATTTTCAGCTCTTCCAGAGCCTAAAGTAGTGTATAAGATAAAAATGGCCTTTAAAAAAATTGCTTTGTGTACAAACCGCAAACCTTAGAAAGGAAAAAAAAATATAAATATTAAATAGTCCAATAAAAAACTCCAGGGACAAGATTTTTGGAAAGTCTGAAACAGTATTCAAGAGTCACCTAAATCGTCTTCATCTGAAATACCTATATTAAACTGTTTTCTCCAGAAGGTAGTTTATGATATTATAAAGAAATCTATCCAAAACCTATCTTCATACACGTTTTAGATTTTTTTTGTGCTAACAGAAGCTTAGTATCACCAGCACTAAGCAAGATTATACCAAAAAGTCTTTGAATGTATCAGGAAAATATCTATCAGAAACAATCAGATCCTCTCCATCTTCACAAAAGTAAAAAGTGGTTGGCAAGCTTCACTGAGCTAACCCTCCTTTCCCTCTTTCCTAAACTATAACTCCTAAATGTAGGCTAACAGTGCTAATTATATGTCCTTGAGTAGTGGGGGAAGGAAATAGATACCAAAGCCACTTGGTTTGGGGCTGAAGTTTGTTAGGAGAGCAATTTGGCTGCTGTTAATAAGGGCAAAATCCTTCTCTTTTTAGTTTTTGACAATTCAGAAACAGATTATTATTCAAGTTGGATTTACCAAGCAACACATCAAGCTAGGAACATAGTTCCTAAAAATCAGAATTACTGAGTCTCTAGGTCTCCTGGTGCTAAAAAAATGTATGGAGAGTCCTATTATCTCTGTTCTTTTTCTTGGTCCTACTCAGGCCAAAACATCCGCACAATCACATCCAATGGCAATGTTCGTCCTTCACATACAGTTCTACAAACTCCCAGATTCAATAATTGGGACACAGCTCTGTTACCACACAGCACCCCTTGTAAAGATGTCCTCAGGAACTGGAGGTCAAAATATACAATACATTGGTTCCTTTTACATTATGCAACGTAAGGAATACAGTTTATTCTGTCTGAATCTGGTTTCCTAGTTACTGGATTATATTCAGTTTTGCAAATAAATACCATACACCTGTGTACACCTATCTGAGTTGATACTACAAATCTTACCTGAATCAGAATTTGAATTTGGTATAGTTGTTAGGGAGAAGGTACAGGTTGCATTACTGCTAAAACTGCTGTGCATTTAATAATTGTATTTCTTCTTATGCACAAAGAATTTGCTTTTTTTTGCATTGGATAAATTTGTAAAAGAATGGAATCCTACTCAAACATTTCTCTAGCTCTTTCAATATTCTTGGCTTGTATTTCCCAAGGTCTACAAAGAATAAGAAAAGGGAGTGAAATAGTACAGCTAGTTTTTTTTCTTTTTTGTTTCTTAGGAGTTTGAATACAACTTCACATATGTTTAAGTTCACACACTGTTTAATGTCAACTTAACAGCGCTTTTTAAAAACACGTCCTTATCAGCAATTCCTAAGGGCGCCTCCTAGTCAAAACATGAAGACAGAATTGTAGATAAAGTGAATCTTTGGCTGAAACTAGCAGGTTAATTCCTTTACAGTGCAGAGCTCCTTAAAGCATACATACTGTATTTTTGGCAAGAAGTGATTGAAAAAAATAGCAAGCACCTTACTGGCACCTCCTCACAGAAACACCTGGCATTACTAAATGGAAAACATAACTGCCAGGAGGACATCAAGAGCTAAAAAAAATAATTGTCATTTTTTATTTTTTTTTACTCTTCTGTGGAAGTGGGAAGGAACCACTTCTAGAGCTTGCCTTGAATTTTTGCTAAGAATTTCAACTGAAAGGGAATTATTTTTCAAGGGGAAAAATGCCTTTAGTGGCGCAGAAATAGTCGGTGTGGATATTGTATAGGTTTTGGGCTGGCTTCTATTGCCCAAAGATTTTACAATCCATCAGAAAGGATAGATCAGAAGTCAGCTATGTATTCAGAAACTGATTTGGTATACATGAACCACTCAGAATGTTAAGCTAGGTGAGTACAGAAGTGATCAGACAGTTTGCCAGAGAAAAGATGGAATATTACTATTTCTTCTTCAGCCCCTTCATTTGTCATGAAGCTTTTTGATAGCTGTGGAGGAAATAAAATTCTTTTTTACAACTAACATGACAAATCTAACAACCTTCTCAGAAAACTACTAACTTTTGTGAGATTACTGATAAACCGGAAGAGCTTTTCTTAAATCTGTAACCAAGCCGTTCCATTTCAAGCCAGGGATATCTGAAACTGGAAAGTCGTGGGACCAAGTACCGTATTTTCACGCATATAACCCGCCCACGCAAATAACCCACAGGTTTTCAAGATCGTGTAAAATATTTTCCGTATACCCTGCCCACTTTTATCCCCCGCGATGAGTAAGCCATCGGCCCTCCCCATTATAACCAATCGGTAAACATTACATTAGCGCTATTTCATCATATTGCCTCAAGCCCAACC